CCACTACCTCTCTCCTCCTCCCACGGTGGGAGTGTTGTGTGGAGGGTGGCCACTACCTCCCTCCTCCTCCCACAGTGGGAGTGTTGTGTGGAGGGTGACCACTACCTCCCTCCTCCTCCCACGGTGGGAGTGTTGTGTGGAGGGTGGCCACTACCTCTCCTCCTCCCACGGTGGGAGTGTTGTGTGGAGGGTGGCCACTACCTCCCTCCTCCTCCCACAGTGGGAGTGTTGTGTGGAGGGTGGCCACTACCTCCCTCCTCCCACGGTGGGAGTGTTGTGTGGAGGGTGGCCACTACCTCCCTCCTCCTCCCACAGTGGGAGTGTTGTGTGGAGGGTGACCACTACCTCCCTCCTCCTCCCACGGTGGGAGTGTTGTGTGGAGGGTGACCACTACCTCCCTCCTCCTCCCACGGTGGGAGTGTTGTGTGGAGGGTGGCCACTACCTCTCTCCTCCTCCCACAGTGGGAGTGTTGTGTGGAGGGTAGCCACTACCTCCCTCCTCCTCCCACAGTGGGAGTGTTGTGTGGAGGGTGACCACTACCTCCCTCCTCCTCCCACGGTGGGAGTGTTGTGTGGAGGGTGACCACTACCTCCCTCCTCCTCCCACGGTGGGAGTGTTGTGTGGAGGGTGGCCACTACCTCTCTCCTCCTCCCACGGTGGGAGTGTTGTGTGGAGGGTAGCCACTCCCTCCCTCCCTCCCTCCTTCCCTCTCACTTTGGATTTTTTAGCGTGTCACACCGGTAATAGCTGGCATTGTTCGTGAGGTTGAATGACGTTGTTGCTAACTCAGTTGTGGCTCCAGCAGAATGCTGTTGTTGGCACTGTGATGTTGTACACTGTCGTTGGTACTCTGGTATAGTTGGCACTGACCGCTGTTCCTGTTGCAACACCCCGATTGTTGTCACTTGTAGTTAAGATATGGTTGGCAATGGTAGTTAAGATATGGTTGGCAATGGTGATTCCAGCGGTTAGGATACTTGCTGGAGACTGTGCAACTGTCCCTAAGGTCAGAATTGACCCCTCCCGCCCCCCTTACACCAAAAACAACAACAACAATAGCCTCAATCCCCCTAATTGACACTGAATCAAAATTGGTTCACTGTGAACATAACATTCGCTGACTCGAATCTTTCCGGCAGATTAAGAGTGAATATCGTGATATAAATGTTTATATTCTTCGTGTTTGTGTTGTATTCATTCATTCAATCTCTAAAGGTGATTGTGAACATTTTCTCCTCACCATTACGACTATATAGAAAACTATAAACGACTATATATTACGACTTGGAACGAATAAACTTACCCGAATACCCCCACGTATAGAAAACGTGACAGTCCGAACGACTGTCTATATTACGACTATAATATTAAAACGATTAATAATATTAAAGTTAAAACGACTATATATTACGACTTGGAAGGGGTCAGGATAAGGATTTGGGATGGGACGAGGAGGGGAGGAATGGTGCCCAACCACTTGTGGACGGTCGGGGATTGAACGCCGACCTGCATGTATATACTGGATATTCAGTTTGATGTGTAAGAAAGACTCGAGTTACTTGTTCATCAGGTAATTGGGATAAGTAACGAAAGTAACGTCATGGAGTAACATAAGTAAGCCTGGTGTTACTTATCATAATAACACCATTTCAGAGCCACACTTTTGACCCTTTTTGATTTAGAGATAGACGGGAGGGGCGGGGGGGGGGGGGGAGGGGGGCACAAGATCATGTCCCGACATAGTGTTCCAGGGATTCCTGTGTTCCAGATCTTCCAGGACGGTAGGGGCTCAGGGGTGGGGGCGCTACGCGCATAAGTGCAGGCTTCCTGTCCCCGGTCAACGGAATTAAATGTATTGTTCTTCTCCGTGGAAGTGTTTGATCCGTTGATGGGGGAATGGGAGGGTACTCCCCCATGGGGTCGCTCCTGCGTCGCTTTTGCGTCGCTCCTGTGTCACTTCTGGGTCGCTTCTGCGCCGCTTCTGGGTCGATCCTGCGTCGCTCCTGCGTCACTCCTGCGTCGCTTCTGGGTCGATCCTGCGTCGCTTCTGAGTCGCTCCTGCGTCGCTTCTGGGTCGCTCCTGCGTCGTTTCTGGGTCGCTCCTGCGTCGCTTCTGGATCGCTCCTAGGTCACTTCTAGGTCACTCCTGGGTCATGCTCTGGGTCGTATTCCTAGAGGTATGTGTGTGTCTCAGTGGTCGGTGTACCCAGCTGCTTCCCCAACCACCCACCCCCAGCCACCACCCCAAACAACCTCCCCCCCCCCATTAACCCCTTCAACCACCCCCTTCACTACCCTCTCATCGTCACCATATCCCCCATATAACGCCCCGACAACTTTCCCACAACTTTCCAGCCTCCACCATCATCCCCCCATCCCTAGCCCCCCCCTCCCCCTCCCTCCCCCATTCCCAAACAACACGAACCATGCACTCCCGCGCCGCTAATGACCCTGGTGGCCATTCAAGCCATGCAGATTCCTGGTTTGCATAACTGTCGGCCGGAGAGAGAGGAGGGGGGGGGGCGACGCTCCCTTCTAAAACACAAACGACCATTTGGGCAGCAATTTGTTGTCAGAATGCAGGAGTGATCATTCAGTGAAGGCAACGAGGCTCGCATTAGCATCAGTAACGAAGGCTTTTCAGGGCGCTTCTCTCTCCTCTCTCTGGGCTGACACCTGTGTTGACATAAACACAGTGACGTCACACACTTCGGGGGCACACCCTTGTACCTGTCAAATTTTATTCTCTTGGTTAGGTTAGGCTAAGTTAGAATAGGTTCGGGTAGGTTAGGTTAGGTTAAGTTAGGTTAGGTTAGGTTAGGTAAGGATAAGTTAGGTAATGTTAGGTTAGGTTAGGATAAGTTAGATCATGTTAGGTTAGGTTAGGATAAGTTAGATCATGTTAGGTTAGGTTAGGATAAGTTAGATCATGTTAGGTTAGGTTATGATAAGTTAGGTCATGTTAGGTTAGGTTAGGACAAGTTAGGTCATGTTAGGTTAGTTTAGGATAAGTTAGGTCATGTTAGGTTAGGTTAGGATAAGTTAGATCATGTTAGGTTAGGTTAGGATAAGTTAGATCATGTTAGGTTAGGTTAGGATAAGTTAGATCATGGTAAGTTAGGTTAGGATAAGTTAGATCATGGTAGGTTAGGTTAGGATAAGTTAGATCATGTTAGGTTAGGTTAGGATAAGTTAGATCATGTTAGGTTAGGATAAGTTAGATCATGTTAGGTTAGGTTAGGACAAGTTAGGTCATGTTAGGTTAGGTTAGGATAAGTTAGATCATGTTAGGTTAGTTTGGCAGGTTTAGTTAGATCATGTTAGGTTAGTTTGGTTGGTTTAGTTAGATCATGTTAGGTTAGGTTAGGACAAGTTAGGTCATGTTAGGTTAGGTTAGGATAAGTTAGGTCATGTTAGGTTAGGTTAGGACAAGTTAGGTCATGTTAGGTTAGGTTAGGATAAGTTAGGTCATGTTAGGTTAGGTTAGGACAAGTTAGGTCATGTTAGGTTAGGTTAGGACAAGTTAGGTCATGTTAGGTTAGGTTAGGATAAGTTAGGTCATGTTAGGTTAGGTTAGGACAAGTTAGGTCATGTTAGGTTAGGTTAGGACAAGTTAGGTCATGTTAGGTTAGGTTAGGATAAGTTAGGTCATGTTAGGTTAGGTTAGGACAAGTTAGGTCATGTTAGGTTAGGTTAGGACAAGTTAGGTCATGTTAGGTTAGGTTAGGACAAGTTAGGTCATGTTAGGTTAGGTTAGGATAAGTTAGGTCATGTTAGGTTAGGATAAGTTAGGTCATGTTAGGTTAGGTTAGGACAAGTTAGGTCATGTTAGGTTAGGTTAGGATAAGTTAGGTCATGTTAGGTTAGGTTAGGACAAGTTAGGTCATGTTAGGTTAGGTTAGGACAAGTTAGGTCATGTTAGGTTAGGTTAGGATAAGTTAGGTCATGTTAGGTTAGGTTAGGACAAGTTAGGTCATGTTAGGTTAGGTTAGGACAAGTTAGGTCATGTTAGGTTAGGTTAGGATAAGTTAGGTCATGTTAGGTTAGGTTAGGACAAGTTAGGTCATGTTAGGTTAGGTTAGGACAAGTTAGGTCATGTTAGGTTAGGTTAGGACAAGTTAGGTCATGTTAGGTTAGGTTAGGATAAGTTAGATCATGGTAGGTTAGGTTAGGACAAGTTAGGTCATGTTAGGTTAGGTTAGGATAAGTTAGATCATGTTAGGTTAGGTTAGGATAAGTTAGATCATGTTAGGTTAGGTTATGTTAGGTTAGGTTATGTTAGGTTAGGTTTGTTTATTTGAGTGGTGATGACGTAGAGGATTCATACTTTTTAATATGTCTTAGACCCGACTCTTTCCTGGCTTGAGGACCATTCAAGCTTTGTACACACACACATGTATACTCAGTGTGACCCCAGAATTTTCGTGGCATTGACGAAACAACTGGGCTCGAAATGCGCCACGAGTGTTGCCGGGGTTGTGTGTTGCCGGGATTGTGTGTTGTCAAGACCTTCCAACAATGCACTTAGGCAGTCGTTGGAGTAGTGGGTATGGTACTGCATAGCCTGTGGGATGCCCCTGGGGGGGGCCTAGGTTCGAACCCTTGAGGTTAAGGATGCCATAGTTGTTCATAAGATAATGTTAGAGTTGTATTGCATGGTTGTAAATCACAACCCGTACAGTGATCATACATGGCAATGATCTACTGAAAACATGGATACAGTGAAAATATTTCAGGTATGTTACCTTTTACAAGAAATTTATTTGCCATTTCATGAACCGTAACTTTAGTTTTATCTCTGGCACTATGTTTTTTTTTTGCAGTGTAAAATGTGATGTTGTAGTGTGTGTGTGTCCTTGTCCACACACTTTACACTTTACTTCATCTAGATCCCCCCATACAAGTCGAACTGCCGGAGATACTTGTAGCCAACAGCTGTGACAGGTGTTGTCACAGCTGTGACAGGTGTTGTCACAGATGTGACAGGTGTTGTCACAGATGTGACAGGTGTTGTCACAGATGTGACAGGTGTTGTCACAGCTGTGACAGGTGTTGTCACAGATGTGACAGGTGTTGTCACAGCTGTGACAGGTGTTGTCACAGATGTGACAGGTGTTGTCACAGATGTGACAGCTGTGACAGGTGTTGTCACAGATGTGACAGGTGTTGTCACAGATGTGACAGGTGTTGTCACAGATGTGACAGGTGTTGTCACAGATGTGACAGGTGTTGTGACAGCATGTATTCTACCTGTGACAACACCTGTCAACCTGCCGACCTTGTTACTTCCTCTATACAAATGAAATGTGTATCTTGCTTTGTTTCTTATTTTAGAATCATTACAAAGACGTGTTTGCTCTAAAATATAGACACACACACACACACACACACGCTATGCGTGTGTTTATATAGACAATCATAACGGAGATGTTATGTTTTTAATAAGCATAACATGCTTATATGTTAAATAAATATATTTAAATAAATATGTATCTTTTAAATATTATTCTTATATTTTATAAACATTTCTACAACGGAACTCGATGTCGGGGTACGGTGCACCCTCTCAGAGAGAATACTTATCAACATCTCACATCAGCAGTCAGGGGAAACACCTCCAACATCTTCATTTCGACAGATAACCTACTAGAAGCTCTCAAAGCGACATCGGTTGGAACCTTGCAGCACATCATCAAAGATGCCCCGCGCCCCCGAGCAGCAGCCAGACTCTCCAACCTCCTGAAGAAAGGTTAATGACTCTCCCGGCACAACCTAAGCATGGCACACGCTCCTACTGTGTGGCAACATGTGCCTAGCGGTCCCTGCAAGGAGAGACAAAACATCAACTTTCTCAGTCATTAGAGACATAAACAGTTTCCCCAGAGAGGACAACCAGGTTCCCTTTCCCACACGTGCCAGAAACACCCACCGCAGGAAAGGCAACAACAACCAAAGCATCCAAAATGAGAGGAACAGTAAGCAAGAAAAGGGATGGAACAAGTGCTTCGCTCACGTCCTCTGTTCGAACCCCAATTCTATAAATGCTTCACCGAATATAGGTGTATTTGCGGCGAGGCAGTGGCCGACAGGCACGGCCGGTATGGCCTGCTCTGCCAGAGTACAAGGGGGGATGATACTCAAGACACAGTGAAGTCAGTGACATAATTAAGAGGAGTCTCACCACAGTTGGTTGTTCAGCAGAGAGAGAGCCCCGTTACCTAATGCCCCGTAACTCTTACGAGCCTGTTGGTCGGCCAGACGGGATCACAGTGAATCCGTAGAAAAACGATAGGCAGTTCGTTTGGGACTTTACAATCTTTCCTCTTTCCCTAGATTATGTAGATCCCTAGGTAGATCCCAAGGTAGATAGACCCCTACTTCCCTCCATCCCTTCCTGGAACATAAACACTGCGTCTGGTTAGTGTTGTATGCGACATCTTATGAACATTCTACATTTAAAAATACTCTTATCCATTGTTCTTGAAGCCACATGAGACCAGACGGCATGGCAGGATGTGCAGAATATCCCCGTTGAAGAGCAGAGAGGCAACAGGTACTCTTAGAGAGAACTCTAAAACATCTGAGGCTTGAGACTGTTCAACACGCTTCCACTACACAGAAAGGGCATAACTGGCCGACCCTTCACAGTGTTCAAGAGAGAACTATCAACATCAGAGGCCCGAGACTGTTCAACACGCTTCCACTACACATAAGGAGCATAACTGGCCAACCCGTCACAGTTTTCAAGAGAGAACTTGATAAACACCTCCAAAGGATAACTAATCAACCAGGCTGTGACTCGTACGTCAGGCTGCGAGCTGCCGCGCCCAACAGTCTGGATGACCAGTCCAGCAACCAGGAGGCCTAGTCGACGACCGGGCCGTGGGGACGCTAAGCCCCGAAACCATCTCAAGGTTTAAATAAATCTGCTAAAATATATTTTTGAATGAATTCTAGCGTCCCTCAAGCCGACTGCTTACAGAAAAATTGGTCATTGCCCTGGAAAGTCAAACCGAAACTGTCTCTATTTTCCGCTTGTTACAACTTGTAATAAAGTTGTTACAACTTGGCTTAACATGTTTATGACGTATTGGAACGTTATTACAACTTGCTATATTGGTTGTTATAACCGGTTAGGTGTTAAAACTTGTTCGAACGTTGTACCAACGTCGTAGTTTCGGTGTGTGTTTGGCGGGTGTTCTCTGGGCTCCTTTTAGCAAAGAACTTGACGACAAAAAATGTTCACTTGTTTTTCCGCTCTCCGTCAGTAACTCAAAGGCAACCCGTCAGGCGCCGCTAGAGCGTGAAAGCCTCCGCCTCCAAAAACATTTCTTTTTCCTTCGCGGAAGACTTGAGATAATCTATGTGATCATTTTCTTATATTTTAATCCAGTGAGACGGGCATCACAGGAGGAAGAAACACTGGCTAATTATACTCCGCGAGTAATTGATCAGTAAACGTATACAATATACCTGATAATTTGACATGCCTTAAAATAATCTAAAACAGTATACGTATCAAATTTTAATTTTAGAGTGACAAAGAACGGTGCCTGAACTTACAGAGACTGAATTCATCCATACTGCTAAACGGACCCCGAACTATCCTCGGAATCTGCAATTACAAGCCGTGTTTCCCCCCCCCCCCCCACTGTTCAACCCGTTCTCGCACTTGCTTATAGTCAATATTGGCTTATTTAATAAGTGCATATATGACATACTAATTGATTGTGAATATTTTAGTTTATCTTGAAAAGCTTCATAGAAAACACCGACCTCACCTAACCTTAGTATGTTAAGATAAGCATCTTATTGCTTCTTAATTACAATTGTTACTTAACCTATACCGTTGATAGGTTAAGTAATATAAGCCAATATTGACAGTAAGCAAGTGCGAGAACTGGTTGCACTGTTTACAACCACAGCACCCGCAGCCCCCATACTAGGGGGAGTGCTGTGGATGCTGTGGGTCTCAGGAATGGGTGGCGACCTGATCGCTCTGTGAAGGGGTCGCCGCCCCCACCCATTCACAGAACCAAACGCCTACAGAAACACACACACAATCTACCGCACCGTAACTGTTTCCGAAATCATCCTTATCACCAGAATCACTCTTATCACCAGTCAGTCCCCTTTTATTACCATAATCAGTCACTCTTATTGCCACAATCAGTCACCCTGATGCAGACAAATGCAGCCCCACATCGCTTCCCTAACTACCACCAGATAACCATTGTCACCATCCCTACACACACACAGACACACACACACACACACACACACACACACACACACACACACACACACACACACACACACACACACACACACACACACACACACACACACACACACACATGATTTTCGGCAGCGTGTCAGTATCTGTACACATTTAGTACAACAACAAACGCTGCGCCCTCGCAATAAATACTAGTAAACTATATCGTTTATATTGTAAATGATCGTTAAACCCAACCCGCACATAGGAAATGAAAGCGACGCCGGTTCATTTCCCAAACAGTGTGTGGGTTTGGGAATTATTTGCTCCTGGGACATTATTGTGACTTATTGTCTCCAATTGACAGTTGTGAAATAGATTAGCTTGTGATATCAATAGTTGTCGCTAGGCGGCGCGCGCGTTCTATTGTTTACATTTGCCCAAGGGGTTGTAAAGAGTAAACACGGTCGACAAGACACGCTTCCCCAAAGAACAACAGCGCCAACAGGAGCCTTACGTTATCACATGACAGACAAACAGACACAGACGCCTCCCCCAGACAGCATTGAACCGCCACCAGAAGAGTGGTATTGCCCGCCGAGGCCCATCACACACTAACATCACCGCTGTGATTCACGGGTTTCCAGCTGCGGGAGATTTATAGAGTCTAATTTGATTCGGCAAGATGTTTCTCCTCAAGGCATAAACATGCTGCCGCAGTTTGGGTTTATCTCTCTCGCTTGGCATTCAGATTTGAGGGGAAGCAAAATACACTAGAATGAATGAAAGATGAAGGGAGAATAACAGATTAGAAATTTATATAAAGACAATAAAAGGAAGACAAATTTGGCGGGAAAATACGTCAAAATTAAAATCAAAACAAAAATTACTTTGTCTATATTGGAGCCTTTGTAGATTTTGTAATGGTTTCCATATATTCATTCCTTAGTTTGATCTTACCAGAGACTCGCGGATTGATGAGTGGATTGGTGGATGATTGGTAGAATACATGTATTCTATATATAATGTGGCTTGTTATCATTCATAGCTCTCAACTAGTCCCAAATATCACCTTCAGGGCCGGCCTGTAATCTAGCCTACGGTTGAATAAGATACGTCAAGTTCTGCTAGCTAGACGCACGCCAGAGGAAATAAAAGTAATTAATAATACCTTTGTAAAGCTAACGATATAATCATGTAACAAAATAATAACACTACACTGGTAAATATTACTGTGCACAATAGTTCCTGAACATTCCCTGGTCCAATGTACAGGACGGAGTGGGGGGTAGAACACTTGAAACTAATTTAAGGTTCAGGTAATCACCAAAATATTGCTTTGAATGGGTAAATAACTGAAATGGTGGAAATACATAAGGCAAAACTCGAACATAATATGGAAATCACTAAACTACATTTGATAATCATACTGTTCAATGACAAGCTACGTATCATAGAAAATATTTAAGGTACAAAATAGATGAGCATCGTACCACTTCTGTTCAACCCAAAGTCAAACAACTTCAAACAAGCTTACTATTTATCATAACCTTTTGACCAAACCACACACTAGAAAATGAAGGGACGACGTCGTTTCGGTCCGTCCTGGACCATTCTCAAGTCGATTGTGACTTGAGAATCGACACAATCGACTTGAGAATGGTCCAGGACGGACCGAAACGTCGTCGTTCCTTCACTTTCTAGTGTGTTGTTTGGTCAACATATTTCAGCCACGTTATTGTGACTTCTCGTCTGCATAACCTTTTGCATTTCCACCAGCTTCTAATAATCAATTACCTCCATGCCCAAGAAATAATTCTACTACAAAACATTCCCACAATAGTTAATAGTTATCTGAACATAGGTCTTCACATTCGGACCCTCCCAATGACCGGTTGAGAGGCGGCAATGCTGCCTCTCAACCGGCTGTCTTTGGCTGTGAAATAACCGGTTTCTACTCCCATGTCGCCTCTATCCGGATACGTTAACCAAGGGTCCATAAGGGTTTATCCATCACAGTATTAATTAATCTCTTAACTATTTCTAGACTGA